GCAGTAACATCAATTTTCATTTCCGGGGGGAACGATAAGTGTTAGTGCCACTAGATTTCCATTGTATAGCGGTACGGATCTGAAAATAGCTGAGGATAGCTGAAAAGATTGAAACTAAATGGGGAACCATTGGGAAAGAACTATGTCGGGGACAAGCTACTACTATCCCGCAGAGGTGATTAAGATATTCGACTAGTAGCATCCACTAAGCGCTAGCCTCATTTAGCAAAAACAAGCCCAGTCCTTCAACAAGATCCGATATGGTGTAGTGGCTAACATCGCCGTCTCTCACACGGCAGCCGGGGGTTCGATTCCCCCTATCGGAGCGCAAATTTCCTTTTTTTTTTTTTTTTTGCCCTTTTTGCTTGTCCTTTCTGCCCCTCCATATGCTTACACTTACTGCTACAAATGTATATGTTTTTTATCCCTCCTTTCCAGATTAAATTTACTCCCTCGACTTCAGTAGCTTTATACTGCCCTGAAAAGGTTGACCATGTCGAATCAACAGTCTTGAATCACCGTTCCGAGATGATATGGTTCTCCCCCATCCCGCTGGTTAATTACACATTGGGGTGTATGTCACCGTGCATAGGTAGTAAGCGGCCACCTGGTCGCATTGCATGTGCTTCTTGCTTGCATGCATGCCATATTTCCGCGGAATTTCATGCAACTGTGATGACACTAACAGTTGAGTCTTAAGCATTGTATATAGTCTTCATCACCGGTTGTTACTACTCTATCCATTACTGGAAAGATATAGTTTGGCCCCTTCCACTTTAGCCCTACAGTTTATCAAAATCAAAGAACTACTTATCTATCTATCTTGTCCCCACTATCTAGACATCATCCCCACCACATATGCACATCGTAGACTTTATAACCGGCAGCTAAACCTTCAGAATGTGGCTTGTACGCTAGCGGGGATCACGACCTGACCTCAGTTCTTGAGAGTTGAGACATCTGGGTAATTGATATATGTAATGGCTTATCAGTTTGATCTAAATCGAGTAACTGTGGTAACTCGACTTCGCATATTGTCGCCTTCTTGCGATTATTGACGGTGTAGTTGTTTGACTGACCCTCTGTCTTCATTATCAACGGGGTATTTGATCAACACTATGAATGATATCAGGATCATATTGCTGTTAGCATTGGTCTGACTGGTATAGCAACGGATCAGACATTTCTTTAGACTAGCATCTGCTCACCGTTATTCAGTCCTTTGCATCCTTCCAGCAACGGATGATCCATGGTGAGGGAAGTGGGGCAGTGGTCCGATATCGTCGGCGCCGCGATGATTCATACTTTTTTGCCTGATTGGGTTAAGCGGCACGCCCAATGGCCCCCCCGCACTGACTGGGCGTAAACCGAAAAAGGGCAAGCGTTGTCAATGGAAGGGCGTGCAGGCGCGCAGTGATCCAGTTTTCTCCCTCGTCTCCTTCAGTTCTTACGACTACGCTGCCTTCCTCAACCTGCCGTTGTTCATGGACTGGGTCAATCATCGGCCAAGCCGACTGGACCGAACACGATGGACATGCATCAGTCTCACCCTTGGAAAACTGCTAGTGCTTGCAGTCAAGCACTCACCCCCCTAAAGGCTAGGTCCACGATGGATATTCCTACTGGATGAATGGAACCTGCTAGCATCAGTGCCGGCAGGGTTCTCCGTTCCGGCATGCTTTTGGTACCCCAGACGAAAAACATAGTCTACCTTGGATCCTGGCTCCCTCCGCTGCCCTCTTGCTTATCCTAAGTCTTGGTCCTCCATCTCTTCGCCATAACTCCTCTGTTCCCATTGTTTCGACCTAGGACGAGACGACTTTCGTGTGTCATACTGTAACCATAAATTGGAACCCCCCCCTTTATCATAGATTCGAGCCCCATCAAGTACTCCAGACAAGAATGGAGTATTTCGATTTTGATGAAGCCTCATATGGTTCCAACGTTCGTGAAGATGATGTTGCCTCGGACAATCTCGAGTTCGACGAGAACGAGGCCGCTGAAAACTACAACGCCATCTTCCAGGAACAGAGCCTAGAGTTTCCCAACGACCTACCGGAGCAAGATGCCGGTGAACTAGACAACGGCGTTTATCCCATGAGTCGTGCCGAGGAGCCATGCGACTTTTGCAGGCACATGAATCTGGATTGCTTTGTCGCAAAGAGTGGAGTGATGCGTCAAAATGGTTGTACTTGCTGCATTTCGCTTTATCGTGAATGCAGCTTCACCCACGCTCGAGCACCCGGCAAATTCTTGGATACCTTACATCCAATCTCCGAGAATACCTACATCCATACCGGTGGTCTGACCGGAAAGAAGGCGCTCAAATCGTTGGGCTTCATTGCTGAAGATGATGGCCGAGCGAGGAAAAGCAATTCGAGACTGGCGCGGGAAGCGGTCCGCATCCTCAAAGCATGGCTCCAGGAACATTGGGAGCATCCCTATCCAACAGAACAGGAAAAGGACGAGTTACAGCAACGCACAGGTCTGAAGAGGATGCAAATATCCAACTGGCTTGCTAATGCTCGGAGACGTGGTAAAGTTCCTCCTGGGCCGCGCAACTCTTCCGCGACGGGCGCAATCAACATTCCCGGACAAAAAGGCGTGGACATCACTTACATGACACCAATGGAGCGTTGGAAGCACTCACCCCCTGAAAACGAACCCGCTGCCACCTCCGATATTCTGCGAGCCCTGGTCACGACCGACCTGAATCATGACCGACAGCGCGCATCCAGACCAGGTCACGTGCGTTCCCTTTCCCGGAAGACTGGGTCTAGCAATGACTCAAGCCATGCCAACTCCAATTTGTTCCATGCTCCCTCGGTCAGTAGTCAGGAAACAAGTCGATCGGCCACTCGTTCCTCTATATCAGACCTTTCTTTTGCCTCTGCCTTCTCCCACCGATCCTCTCTCGGTTCCTTCGGCTCTATGGAGCGGAAGGAACGCCGTCGCCGGCGCAAGCCCTCACTTCCCGTCAACACCTTCAGCCAACAAAAGGCACGCAATGCCCGCATATACCAATGTACTTTCTGCACCGACTGCTTCCAAACCAAGTATGACTGGCAACGCCATGAGAAGTCACTACACCTAGCTCTCGAAAAGTGGACTTGCTCGCCTTCGGGGGGAGTAGCCTTCATAGATGGCGCCAACCGTTGTGTATTTTGCATGGCTGTTGATCCCAACAACGATCATCTAGAGTCACACAATTACAGTATCTGTCAGGAGAAGACACCCGCAGAGCGGTCCTTTTACCGGAAGGATCATCTCAACCAGCACTTGAGACTGATGCACAACGTCAAGTTCAACTCATCCATGAACGCCTGGAGGAGCACTCTGACAGAATTCAAATCTCGATGTGGCTTCTGCGGGCTGAGTCTAACAACTTGGAAAGACCGAGTTGACCATTTGGCCTCCCATTTCAAGAATGGCAGTACCATGGCGCAGTGGCAGGGCGATTGGGGGTTTGAACCCTTTATTCAGGGTCTGGTCGAAAATGCAATGCCACCGTATCTCATTGGCGGCGAGCAGAAGACTCTGAATCCTTTCAAGCCACCCAACGCTGCACAAACATCTGGTCTGCTTCAACCAGAAGATGCGAATTGTTATAGGCGCCTGCAGCGTGAACTCACCGCATATATCCACAACCAGAGGGCCGCCGGTATCATCCCGACAGATCGAATGATACAGGACGAAGGCCGGCGAATCATTTATGGAAGCGACGACCCGTGGAATCAAACGTGCGCCGATAACTCGACTTGGCTCAGCCTGCTGAAGCGAGACACAGGACTTGAAGTACTCCCTGGGTCAGAGCACATTCAACTATCCGACCTGGGTATGCGACCGCCATTTGCTGCTGCTGACGGCCTAAGACAGGCCCCAGCCGAAACCAGCATGTTATCCAGTCCTCTCTACCCCAGACAGGGCACATTCAGTCCCGTGACCCCCAACTCTGGGCTCCAGAGCCCCGCATTTATGGGGCACGGTCGGTCTTCCTTTGCCGCGAGTGCTCCTGGGAGTTCCACTGGCAGCTATGCCGAAAGTTCTGGTTTTCTCCCGTCTCGGCCCTATTCCAGGCTGTCGGCTGACGTCGGGAGTACCCTGTCTGCTGGCATTGCGTCCCTCAACACGCCTTTGAGCGGATCTGTTGACCAATTCGTGCAAATGGGGTTCGATCCCGAGTTCTTACAACAACTGAATGAGCGGTATGATGAGTTACCGTTGGACGATCTGCAGGGGCTGTGCTTTGAAGAGAGTAGTAGGCGTGAGAGTGAAGTTGGAGCTAGGAACGTTGGACAACATCAGGTAGAGCCGACTGGAAAAGCACTGCCTTTCTCTACACCTGTCTCCGCTCCCATAGCCATCCCCGGTATGCGGAGCTCCGATGTGTTCATGTCCGATACGGGTCTCAACGAGGAGCTTGCACCAACGACGGATCTGGGATATCCAGGTATGCATGAGGGCCGAGAGCAGATATAATGGTGTTTGATGAGGGAATCGGTGTTGTAGATATGGGGCAAGTGTAGATAGTCCATGACTGAGAGGGTCATGATGCCAAAAAGTTTCTTATACTTCGATTTGCTTTGTGTGGAGAGATGGAATTATTTCGGGGATTTTCTCGCCCTTCTTCAACTGCAAACGTTCATTTCGTGGGATGGGAAAGCGAGCACGTACAGGAGATAGCCACAATTAATATACCCTTCTTTGGACTGAAATCGACGAATGCTCCTTGCGTACAACATCATATGAAGGGCGTAGTATACAATTAGTAGTGCTGTCACAGGGCGTAAAACAACACGAATTAATCCGATTGGCTGGCTCACCCACGCCACTGAATCATGGAACCGCCGAGTCACGGGCCTAGAATTGGGTGCCTTATCGGAGGGGCCAACAAACGGCGCACCGTTTGACATGTGAAAGCCGCTGGCTGAAGTTTGCGCCGGAAGTTTTCTCTCACGCCATGCACCTAAGCAGCTTCCTGCTTGCGTTTCACCCTGCCATGTGCTTCGACCGATGGCTGGACATTCAGTAACTTTCTGAAACGCCAGAAAGTCTATCTGGTCGTTCGTGGACGCTGTTGCCGTTCTCTGCGTCAGACATACGCTGCCAGCACTGTCTCATGGTTCACCCCTCATTGTTGTTTATATTCATTGTATAGGCCCCTACCCTCGCAAGATGGATGAATTCGACGACTTAACGGCACTGAGCGATACGATGGTCTACCACCAAGTACTTATGGCCTTTTCTCCCGTTATCCCGGCCTCGCTTCGACGGCGGATCTCCAGACTATACCCATCAATGCATCGATCCGTGAAGTCAGAGGCCAGCGCTAGCGCCAGCGCCAAAGCGAAAACAGCTGGTGAGGTCGGAGGCGATGCGATGGCCGCAATGCGACAGACTTCTGAGCCAGGAGAGCTGGATGTGGCATCGCTGCCTGATAATTCGTCTGGGCCCGCCTTTCAGCGCCCCAGTACTGCAAGCAGTGCTAGCAATGGAGTAGATCCATGCTTCTCGCCTGGCACTGAGAAATCACAAGAGCTCAGCGATATCTCTAGTCTCAGAAGCAGTAGATCTAGCAGTGTCTTCAGTCCAGTGGCTCCGAAATATGAGGCAGAATCCGGACTGCGATGGAATCGGATTGCGCCTGGTTCGTATGACCGCCTGTCTTTAATTCTGTTCTATTCTAGGACACACGAAGGAAGTCACTAGTACTAGTCTGGCTGACGGAATGTCAGCACTCAATCTCCTGCAAAATGCTTGTCATGAAGCGCAGCAGCGGCAGTGCGACAGTCGCCTGGCTCGGATGTTGTACGTTGATGCTTTAAGTTATCTTCTCGATGGCCTCCCCGACGATATGAGCACCCAAGAAACCATGATAATCCAGGAAAATCTTCCTGCTGGTGTCAAGGAATCTTTGGCTGCGCCTGCCGTGACTGATCCATCCGCGGCAGGGCTTCACAATATGCTTACGGGAAAGAATTCTCCGCCTGAGCGATCTTACCTTCATCGACTGCTGTCGTCGACTATCGTCTACTTCTTCATAATGTTGCAATTCCTCATGCCATACGTGAAAATCCTCGTGTACCATCTGTACCGATATGAGCGATCCCATCGGTTAACGGAACGCGCCGTAACAAAGGTTCTGGATGCGGCTGATAACTTTGGTAAAAGAGGCATGGTTGTAGGGGCTGCAGTCCTGAATTACAACGAAGGGAGAGTGAGCGCAAATATGATGGAGCTTGCAGCCTGGTGGGTGACAAGCATTGCAGGTGGTATCTACGAGGGATTTGCGGAGGGCATGATTATCATGGGAGTCACCCAGTCGCATGTTGAGCTGGGGAAGGCTTTTGTGCAGGCTTCGCGGTCATAAGGTACGATTTGAGCAAACTAGATTGAATAAGTTGGGTATGTATTCTAAGCGTAGATATAGACTGTTATAATGTGACATGACTATTACACAGTAAGGGGGCATTTACTTCTACCATGACTGTTTGTTTCCAGCGCTATTGTATACTTTACCCATGTGAAGTGGAGATGCTACCATAGAAACCCAGATAACCGCCGGAGATAGCGGATATAAGCACCTCCGACTCTTCATCTTCGCTCGCCGCACCCCTGAGCATTTCCGACCACCAATTCCAAGCATCATGTCGACAACCCGCTTGCCCAACGTCCCTGCGCTTCGGAAACAGCAGCTTCTCCTAGAATTGTGAGCATGCTTAATACCACTCGACTGACCAAATCGTGGTGTTGACTGTCTCTGCAGCGCAAGCTTGCAACATGCCGCTCCTCCGGGAACTTACATGAGCCTCAGCCCGGGCGATCCAACGCTTTGGTTGGGAGTCATTTTTGTTCGCTCCGGTATGTATTCCCAATTACATATGATGACGGCGATCTGACAATCTTGTCTGTATAGGCCCCTATGCCTCCGCCGTCCTCCGCTTCCAGATCCGTTTCCCCACGTCCTATCCCGATATGCCTCCTCTAGTGAACTTCGCCACTGACGTCTTCCATCCCTTAATCGTCCCCCTCACCACATACACATTCAGCACCGGTGCATCAAGCGAGGATCCAGTCAGCGCAACAGACGAAGAGCGGCTACCCCCTGGCGGGTTCAGTCTGCGGCACGGATTCCCGCACTGGTTCGGCCGCTCAAAGCGTGCTGGATTACAATCGGCCACTCCGCCTAGAGAGACCGCCAGTGTGCGTAATTCGACTGCTACTAGCGAAGGGGTATCCAGTACCCTTTGCAGGGAAAGCATGTCCGGGGATACCGGCACTGCCACCGAACAGACAGAGCCTCAGTCGAATGAAGAGGACGAAAATGAGAATGAGGACGAAGGCGAGGCCGTCGCCCCGTCGTCGGTAGAGAAACAGGTCGAGTCTAGGAAGACCGTCCCTGTATCAGAGCTGCTGGATTACATTCGGTCTACGTTCGATAATGAGACGGTCCTCGACTCTTTACCGCTGGAAGCAGCTGGAAACCCGAGTGCGTGGCATGCGTGGAAGGCTCATCGGAAGGGTAGCACTGCTTCTGCATCGAAGAAGGGGAGCCCGCAGGCGAGGTCCCCGGGAGACTGGCATTGGGATGGGATCTGGGCCAGACGGGTGCAGAACGAGATTGAGGCTAGTAGTTCGGATGCGATGTTATATGGGAATGCGACGCGGGGAGGAGTCGAGGAGATGGTAATTCCTGATACCCAGTGTGATATTAATCAGTTGCTAACAACTCCACAGATCCGGTTCAGCCGCCTCGACGATTCCACCTTGGCATCAGTCAAAGAGATGATGATTCCACGCACAGAGGCAGTGCGCGAGTAACTCAATATACCCTTAATAGACCCGATCGTGGCTCAGTTGACCTGACCCTGATTTCATACGTAATCAAAAAGTCATTATTTGAGGCTGTCATCATGACCCATCCATCCATCCATCGTGCCTGCCTAGTACGTCACATTCATGGCAGTGCCAGAACACCATCCATACATCCATCCCCTCTATAGTACTCTACCTCTAATCCCCTTTCAAAAGCATCTTAACTACCTACTACATCCTACTCATCCAATTACCAAAATCCTACCTTCTACAATACACCCATAATCCAATATGTCTAGCTGGTATTCGCAATACAAATCATCCATCACCGTCATCCTCTTAGTCCTCGTCCCTATCATCGTCATCTGCAGCATTCTCGCCATCGCCCTCCTCTGCTCGGAATTTTGGAGTACTCGAAAATCAGTCACCTGGGTGTTCTGGGTCAAGCCGCAGGATCGTCAGAAGGGGAAACGAAACTCCCAACCGGATCTTGAACGGGGTCGGAATCCGCCTGCTTATCAGGAGCCGCTGCGCAGACGGGAGGAGAATTGAATTGGGTTTTGTCTGAAAATCAAGTTTTAAGGTTGAAGGCGGTTGATTGGGGTGGTGGTTCTGGACATCGAGGCTGTCGTGGTGTTGGTCGAGTGATATGAAGATCGCCGATCTGGTTTTGGATCTCGTGGAATAGACGTCGAGGGCATGCGAGTAGACTTTTGGTGCACTGAATCGGGGATGTTATGGACATGAGACGACTACTGAGTTTTGAATGGCCCTGCTTATGTGGAGCGCTGCTCGACAGAGACGTTTGGTTGAGATGATACTGATGCAGATCGTTGGAAAGGTTCGACTAATCTTGTTCTGGGACATCCACAGGGCATGGTTGGTTTGGGCTCACGATGGCGCGACTTGGCCTATGCCAGTGAAGGATCTTATATGCCAGGGACTACACTAAAGGATTGACCTTTTATATGTGGCTGCCACTATACATGTGATAAGTCGCAGGCAGGCTACATGGTTGCTTAGGGAATATGCTTCCGTGAAGGACAGTACAGGAGTTATGGCGTTTAGTTTCATGTTAACAGTTTGCTGTTTTACAAGCGGGAATCAATCTGCTCTTTATGCTATTACTTCAATGCACTCGGAATCCGGTCTCTTGGATCGAGGCGGGATTATATGACTTCCGTTCGAACTATACATATGAGTCCGTATCAGACGCTATAATGACATAAAGGGTATCACTAGTTCATAATCGATCTATACACTATCACCCCCAACCTCATCCCCATGCTCAACCCTACCCTCCACAAAATTCCTCAACCTTGGTGCATCCTCACCATTATCCTCCCTTCCCCTCAGACCCCACACCGGCTCCCCATCATCATTAAACTCCGCCCACTGAAAGAATCCGCATCCCTTCTTCCCCGGCGCAAACCCAGCATAACACATCCACATATACCTCCCCCGATTCTCCTTCTTCCTTTGCACACACCTCAAAACCGTATGCTCCCCACACCGACAACGGGGTGTATACCGCGGATGCAACGACTCGCGATACCAGCGATAAGTGATATTAATCCTCGCCGTACCAGAAACAGGATGCGGAATGACCGTCCTAGCAGGGACAATGGAATGTTTCCATTCCTCTTGCATCTCTGCATGCATGATGAGGAGGGAGTTATGCGGTAGGTGAATGGAGATCTGGCCTCCATCATCACCATTATTTTCATCCTCATTGTCGGTGTCAACAGGGAGGATCTTCCTCACGCGAAACTCCCTCTCCACGCCTAGACTCAAGCTCCCGATGACGGGTCTCGGGCCGAGATATGTCAGTTCGTCGGAGTGCCAGCCTACGCTTTCTGTGGGGCCGGCGTAGCAGTTTACGAATGCGGCGTTGGGTGTCCATTCTAGTGGGGATTGAAAAGGAAGCTTGGGGCCCCGGGCTTTGATCTGCTCGTTCACGGTGCGTTGGACTTTGGCGGCGACGGTGCGCATGTGCGGGGTGATTTGCCGGACGTTGGAGCGGTAGGTGCCGCCGTAGGTGTATTCTGAGGTGTGGGAGTGGTGGTCTTCTGGTGTGGAGACGTAGATGCTGGCTGAATGGGGGCTTTGGACTGTTCGGTCGAAGAGTTGGAAGTGGGGTCTGGTGAAATGTGGGGATTCGGAGAGGAGTTCGGAGAGGAGGGCGTTTGCAAGGGATGGGGGGAGGAAGTTGTGAATCAGGGTGCAGGGGGTGTGGGCTGCTATGGAGGCGGGGGAGTAGAGGTGGAGTGTCTGGCCTTTCTTTGTGAGAGGCTTGGGGATGATGGTCGGGGAAGTTGAGGTTAAGCATGTTTGGATGGCTGGGGTTCCTGGAATGGCTGTTGCGCGTTTCTTGAACGGAGGCGCCGAGCCAGACTGGATTTGGGGTTGAGTTTGAGCCTTGATAGTGGATGAGGCTGTTTCCACGCAGCCATTGCTCGAAACCAGGATTTCCATAAGCGTGTCCAGGGTCATGGTTGGGAAGAGTGACATCAGGAGGGCCAATTTCATGTCGGTGGACTCTTCGTCGGTTGTTGTTGGTGGCGGAGGGCTCCGGGGCCTCTTCCGGGAGACGAAGCGATCCATGGAGAGGATCTCCAGGTCGAGCAGGAAGCCATGAGGGAAGTGGAGGGGAAGCTGGCGAGGGATGTTAAAGGTTTATTTGAAGGTTTGCTGCAACTGGAATTGATATCCTTATCGACACGTGATTGCTCTCAAAGTGGCCAATCAGCGCACTACGTCATAGATCAGGACAATGGAGTTGATTGGAATCTTGCTGCTTGTCATCTGCCTAAGCTAAGTCATAGCCATCATGAAGAGGACTTCTGGAATATTGCGACAACTGTTCTTTTACGATGCTACGCTGATCAGATAGAAAAACTCAGCAATTGTTGACGATGCAGCCTCAGGAGCAACACGAAGTGATTGTGGTGGGTGCAGGTATGGGTGTTTTTCGCCTGCCATTGTCTGACTCTCAGACTGCCTACTTACTCGTGGTTATCAGGACTCGCTGGTCTTGCAGCAGCAAAGACGTATCTTGAGCTGGCGCCAGAAACGGATCTATTAATGCTTGAAGCGGTATTCTATCCCGCACCAAATGCCCATCCAGCTGTCCACTGATCTACATTGACAGCGTTCGGCTGTAGGCGGCGTATGGGCAGAAAACAGCTATGAAGGGCTTCATACCAACAATCTCTACGGAACTTATGAGTTTTCGAGTTTCTCGCTTGACCCAACCAAATATGATGTGCAGCCGGAAGCTCCCATCCCTGGATACGCGCTCAAGCAGTACTTCAGTGACTTCATCGATCATTTCGATCTTCGACGACGGACTCGATTCAACACTCGTGTGCATACAGTAGAAAAAGCTGATGGGTTCTGGGCGCTTCACACCGACTCGGTATTCTACAGGTGTAATAAACTCATCATGAGCCCCGGACTCTTCTCGACTCCGAATGAATTCTCGATCCCGGGACAGCAAAGCTTTGAGAGACCCATCATGAATCACTCTCAGCTCGGAACAACAGGCGCTCTTCTGGCCAATGACCCAGCGGTAAAGTCGGTGACGGTGATTGGGGCTTCAAAGTATGGATATGATGCCGTGTATCTTATGGCCTCTCATGGTAAACGTGTGGAATGGATCATTCGTAAGTCTGGAGGAGGTGCTGTCTGGATGGCATTGCCGTGGGTTTGGTTTGGACCCTGGCGATTGAAGCTGGAAGGCCTAACAACCACCCGAATCATCACCTGGTTCAGTCCATGCATCTGGGGAAATTGTGATGGGTTTGGATGGGTGCGAGGACTACTCCATGGGACAGCGCTGGGAAGGTGGCTAGTGCGATCATTCTGGAATAAACTAAACGGGGATGCCATTGAGGTCAATGGCTACCGGAGAGAAGCGGCGTTGAAAGAGCTGGAACCAGATGGAAGGTAAGATCACCGAAAGCCAATTTACATGACTAACAGCGGGTCACAGTGTGTTCTGGACGGGTCGTCTGGGGGTTCTCAATTATCCCACGGATATCTATGATTATGTTCGGTCAGGGCAGGTGAGCGTGAAGAGAAAGGACATATCGCACTTATCAGAAGGCCAAGTCAACTTTATAGATGGCACAGAACTACAAACCGATGCTTTAATCAGAATAACTGGATGGAAGCTGGTACCAAGCATCAAGTACGAGCCCGAGGGACTGGAAGGCAGCCTAGGGATTCCCACCAGGAATCCCTCCAAAGACAGGAAAGTCTGGGATCGTTTCGACCGCGCCGCGGATGAAGAGATACTCGATCGGTTTCCAGGTCTGCGTGACCAACCAGCTGTGAAGATTCCGTACAAGCTCGGGCTCAGTCCTTTCCGGCTCTACCGCGGAATTGCGTCTCCGGAGTTGACAGCCAAAGGCGATCAGTCCATAGCATTCTTGAAGATGCTTAATGGACCAAGCAACGCCCTTCTGGTCGAGGTGCAGGCTCTCTGGACATATGCTTATCTCAACAATCAGGTCCCAATTGACCGATCGAAGGTGTATTACCAGACAGCACTGACCAGTCGATATGGAAAACATCGACATCCGTGTGGTTTCGCGAGTTGGTATCCAGAGACGATCTTTGACGCGATCCCGTATCTGGATATGCTATTGATGGACCTGGGGATCAACAGATGGAGGAAGAGAAGCTGGCTGCGAGAGGTTTTCGAGGAGTATACAGTGCATGATTATCGAGGGATCAATCAGGAGTGGAAACAGCAACACAAGACGCTCTCTTAACATACTCTGAATGTTTTAGTGGGTAAAATAAGCCAGATAATTTCCTTGCTAATTTGGTATGTGTAAGCTGCAAAATCATTGAAGACAATCGTACGATAAATATTCTAACCCATCCCTTGAGCCAAAGCACACCACTGACGCCAATCTAACCAGCCCAACCATACTCCTGACCCAGTAGTATACACATAATATCATACAACACCCCCCTAATCCCAATCCCATACAACCCACCCTACCTCAACTCCCCCCACCTCCCATCCCCCAAATACACCTCCCCCTCACGATGATACTTCCTCAACCCCCCGGCCCCCCTCAACCCATCAAACACTTCCACCACCGCCCTTAAAGCCACCCACGTCCAGCCCGGAAACCCCTCATCAGCCGGATTCGAATCCCTCCGCCTAATATCCGGAAAGTTCTCCTCCACCATAATAACCGGACAACACTCCCCTCCCCTCCCATCCCCATCCCCATCCACCAACCTCCCAAACCTCTCCAAAACCCCCTTATCAACAACCAAACACACCCTCAACCTCACAGGCAACTCCACCGCCGGCAACGCCAAATCCACCCTCTTCCAATCATGAAACACCCGTCTTATCTCCTCGACGCTCTTATCCCCATACAGCTTCTCCCCGCTGAAGACCTTCGCCGCGTAGCTGGATTCTAAGAGTCGAGTTTGTGAAGGGTTCCCCGGCAGGACGCGCCGAATGGCGTGGTGGATTTCGGTGTTGAGGGATTGCAGGAAGTGGGAGAGGAGATTGTGGGAGGAGGAAGGTGTGTAGGTCGTTAGGTAGATTATTGGACCCCAGGTTAGGGTGAGGAAGTCGCGGGAGGGACTGGGTGGGAGGGAGCGGAGGCCTGGTTGTGAGGCTGTGTGGTAGAGTTCTGTCTGGAGGAAGGTGGAGGCTGGGGTGGTGGGATCTTTGTCTTCTTTTTTGGGTTTCATTCTGGGAGGGGGTGGTATGTCGGAGGTGGTGGTCGATTTGTTGTAGGTGGGTTCATGGTGGATTAATTTGAGTGATTGATTGATTGGATAGTAAGTAAGTAAGTACTAGTAGTAGTAATCTGATTGATAGTTACTAGTTGGGGTGATGAGTGGATGGAGAGGAATGTGGGAGTGGCGTCAGTGTGACATGCTCGACATGGGAGCTGCCAATGTTTTGTTGACATCCGTTTTGGGAAAGTATAGATCTACTACTCTGTAGAGGAGTGGAATTTCTCCCTTACTGATAGTGGGATTATCGGAGTATGTGGTTATTTGGATTTAGGTATTAATTGCAGTATTAGAAGTCACATAACTGGGGATTTGCTAAGTATAAGTCCTGCGTGCCCACTAACCAGTGATGCCGCTTTTGGTAACTTGGGGCAACGAAGTAACTGAATGACCGCCATGGCTGCTTTCACCACTTCACTGCGAGTCGGGGATTATATCAGAGTGCTGGTTCAAAGTTCTATAATACCTAGGAAGAATAACTAGTAGTGCCGACAAAGGCTCTTGACCAACTGAAGCTGCTGATCACGGGGGCAGTCGCATTGTTGTGGCTATGTTACGATGAAAAAAGGTAGGGGAAGAAAATAAGTTAGGAGTATTATCTACATCTACTACTAAGTAGTACATATATATCGGCACAAAGGCACATTGCGCTGATTTAGAAGCCATGTCAGATCTTTTACACTGAAGATACAACTAAATATTATTCAGGTGAGAACATGTGGTTGCCTGAGGCACATTAAGTGATACTTGGTGTAATCTAAAGGCTTCACGGTGGATTGATTGATCACTTGAATGGAATACCAGAAATGCTGATATGTAGCTGGATAGATTGAAATAGAGGAAGAGAAATGTAGGTGTGGCGTCAGTGTGAGAATACCTTGTAGCTCTGTTTCATTAACATGGTCCGTCTGGAAACACTATATGTAGATAGATCTACTTAAAATTGGGATGCGGTTGAGATATATAAGTACCTAGATATTAGCATTACTAACTAATTACAGTGAGGAGTAGTAGTCACATGGTTGAAATGCTGCTGTGAGTCCAGTACGGTCTTAGGCTTTAGCGGCCATTGGGTCTACATCATAGAATATCTAGACGGTTGTCAAGTTAAGTGTAAAGCCATACATTCACATTCCCGGATCTTCGTATATGATGTTCTTCATCCGCTGCATCACTGAGTACCCCCGAAAACGCATTTTCCGGGCGGCCATAACGCTATCGCCTGCCGTCGAAGTGACTATTTGGACTCTATAAGGATCGCTTGAGCGTCACCACGATCATCTTCGAAGTCTGCGCTTGTTCGCTCCCGCCTCGTCAGAACCATTCAACTCCTTCTGATTAGCAATCCCCGGTGTATGTGGTGGTTTCAGCTGTTCGGAAGGCGGTGGTCCCAATCTGTACGACCATTGGGGATTATAATACCTAATCTGGGTGGGCTTTGGGACTGGACAACGCAACTGCAACCGACGCCGACCATGCTGACGCTGAGTAAGTTGCTTTGCCAGGGGTTTCGCAATCGTCGAGAGGCCGATAGCAAGAATGTTGATTTTGTACGTCCAAGAGGAAGGAGAGTAAGATCTTGAAGAAGAGTTCTTTGTCACTGCTCTTATCTTCCGCCGGAGTTCATTCATTGGTATAACAGCCAACCAGATCGGGTCCTCTTCGACTTTTATGGAGCTGATTCGACGGTGTGTTGCATAGTCTATCGTCGCAATACAAGTGCCCTCATCTGAAAAAAAAATCACTCCGCGTCGGTTTTATCGAGAGAGTGAGTGAAGCAAACGTATCAGGTATCCCGAATGATTGATCAACGCTTAGAGAGTACCGGCCCAGAACAGGCTGGATTCGGATATCGACATCTCTCAGCTATCCCACGTTAGCTATACCGGATGGGTAGAGAAATGAACAAAGGGGGGGAAGGAGGAGGAAATGAAAAGGTGATCCATATCACATACCATCCCGAAGCATATATATTCTGCCTTATCTTCCTGAGTGCTCTGCAAGACCTTGTCATTATTTTTGTGGCATTGCTGGGGAGGGTCCTGAACATGTTCTGGAGCCAAATGTTTGGGCGAAAGCGCTTGTGGTGCTGGAGAGCCTGGGCATAACATGAGAAGTTAGACTCCGTTTGGGGTGAGGGGGGCTCGACAGTAGGTGTTGTACTCACAGATAGCCTCCGGATGGTCACCGGCTTGGTCGCCTTTCGGCTGTAAAACATCGTGTGCTTTATCATCAGAGACGAGAGAGCTCGGTGAAGTTTCCGTGTCTCGAACGGAGCTGGAGACGCCGGTGAAGGGCTTGTCAATCTTGGATCGCTTTCCCCGATGACCGTCGGAATCCTTATCATGGATTTCGTCGACTGATTCCACGACTCGCTTCTGAGGAGAGTCCGATGACATCTCGTCGGAAAAGCTCAGAAGCAGGTACTAGTGTCAAACTGTAAAATGCCGAGAGGAGGAGAAAGGAGCAACCGTGCTCACACCTTAACTCTGAGCTAGGGCACGAAGTAATTTTCACAGCCACCCGGAGAAAGGGTACAATCACCAAGGCTTATGGAAACGAAGAATGAAGACTTCATCTGAACGAGAGGCATGAAGTCCCTTCTTAAGTAGGCATGAGCGATTGCTGCTTCTCATGGGTTGTGTTGGGAAGATCCCGGGATAGGGAGATTGTTCTGCAGCATGAACAAAGAACGAGGTACACAAAGTTACCTCTGCTGCTTGCTTTTTTCTTTCACTTCTTTGTTTAACTACTGGGGTTTGCTCAGCCACACTATAGCCTGTCTATCAATCCATTTGGGCTCTCGGTACATGTCCTGACTACTACCCCCTCAAGCCCAGATAATCACACGCTTTTCCTATACATTCTTCCCTCCCTTTGTAACCGCCTATGGTACAACATCGTGAATCCAAAATGATAACAAAACAACACAGCCCACATCACCGGCATAATCCACAGCAGACTCCGTCACCCAGAGTGACTTATACAATCCAGGAGCTGTATTTGGTTGATATCCGTTCTGGCGAACTGTAGACTTACTCTGTTGGTATGTTGTTTATCTCCTTTGTTGTTAGTATGTTTAGCAGTGTGAATGAGTATCGGAGTGGTTTCACCTAGTTGATAGATAATCTAGTCCTATCGCTTACCTCATACGGAAGCCGCCGCTTTACTGTGCGCAGTCAAGTATGGAGGGCTAGCACGTAAGTCGACTTGCGCGCCAGACCATGCGCGCATGGTGCTAGTGCTTACACACTTCCCGGTGCGGTTTAGGTAGTTTCTGGCACCGCCCTTGGAATCACTTCAGACAGAAGAAATTACACGTGAATAACCTGGGCGCCTCTGCCTCCTCCGCCCGGCATAGCCACAACCATGTAACTGCCCTGATGATGCCCAACCCAAGCATTGTCGTGAGTCGCAATTTTTGCCCAGCTGGAGGAGTTATGATCTTACAGCAGTCACTTAACTTGCATAACTTGCTTAGGAGGCAAGATCATAGGCAACCATGCCTCTACAGTCATTCTGGCTTCCAAGTGGTCACTACGTTAGTGGCCATATCCTTGTCTTTTACCTAAGGAAGTGCCAACACAATCGTCATCTTTATGAGATACTAGTAGCTACGTTGTTTCGCCCAGAAGCCCAGTAAGGCGGCTCGCGCGCCAGGGGTTTGTTTAATCTCTCGAGGCTTGTTTTTAGGCATATCCGTATATAAACCTTGAGAAGGAGAAAGGAAAAAGAGAGTGAGAAAACATCCAACTTCGCCTACAAGATGTCTTCAACTGTGGCAAACAACACTGCGCCACATCCTCCTACCATACACTACCCCCAGCCAGAAAGGCCAGCGAGCCATGGTGTGACGCCGCCATTCTCCAGCTCTGCGAGTATTCGCTCTTCCCCACAATATACGCACCCAGCAGGCGTCAACTTCCAGCACCAGTTGATAAAGCCCAGCGAGGATCTCCAACGCTATCTGGACTTCCAGCTCACAACGCCGAAGTTGAATCGGATTCATCATCTGCTATGGCTCGCTGGCCTCCCACGGGCAGCCCGGCCACTGCATCGACAGAAGCTGATGAAGCGTGCGATTATCCTCACGGAATCCCCAGATGAGCACTTGGTCTGGAGCCCCGGGCAGATCCTCATCAAACCCGTCCCGGAATATCTTCTGGACCACGAGTTTTGGTTGCGGGAGCTCTGTCCTCATCGAGAACTGCACGCTGCCGCATGTGGGCTGCTTCTATCTTATGCGTGGCTCATTACTGGATTGATCGATTTCCAACTCGCCAAGGACGAGCGTATTTTTCCCTGTGATGTCACTTGGGATGCATGGACCCTATTAATCCGGCAGTTCCTCGAGTGGGTGGACAATGAGAATGATGACGATAGATGTAGTACTTCCCTGCCCACAGAAAAGGATTATGTTTCCCAACCCCAGCCTGCAATCATCAACAAGCGCTACGAGTTTGGCGAGTTGCGCTTGAGCCGCCTGAATTCCCTGTACCGATTAGCGCCCGTGACCTTTTCTATCCGCAACCTCGTGTTTGGGTTTCTTCCCAGTTCCACATGGTACCAGGAGTTCTTCGAGCGTAATTTCTCGTGGATCCTGGCGGTTTTAGTATACATGTCAGTTCTGTTGTCGGCCATGCAAGTGGGACTGGCGACCGAGGCGCTGCAGGGGAATCTGCAGTTTCAGAGGGTTTGCGTCGTCTTCACCTTGGCGTCTATTTTCTTCACGGTAGTTCTGGTGTGGATTATGCTGATGTTATGGACCCTGTTGTTTTTTTATCATCTTGGGTTTACAATGATGTACAATAGGCAGATGCAGAGAGAGCGAAGAGTGTATAGAAAAACCGTGTGACTGTCTAAGGCCAGTCATGCCTTCAACGTCCCAAATGTCAATTGTATTCGGCGAGCAGGCTTGCGGAGCAAAAGCAAACAAATGAAAGCCAGAAGGTGAAGCAATTGAAACAATGTTGAGCCAATCATTAATTTCAACAGACTCAGCCTCGCGAATGCGTGCCTTGGATTAGTGATGATGCAGGTGGTGGTGCCCTGCTGCAACTTCTGGGTGGCAGTGCCGCAGCTCAGAGCAGTGCGATAAGCCGCTAAAGGATTTATATCTTTCGTTTCTCACCTCAACACTTCACTATTTGGCGAAGAAGAAATCGAGGAAATTATAATGTTAGGCGATACCAATATGGATATTTCCGAAGACATGTCTTTGTGCCCCTTCGCAAAGCGGGATCCGGAGTTTGGGGATAATGGCATCCACGGCGAGGCCGATTATCCTCGAACCAAGCGGCTCAGGCTTGACGAGCATCTCGTCAACACGTCCAGCTCCAGTTCGGACATGACAACTCCCTGGGGATCTTTCGGCCCGCAGAATCATCAAGATACTGTACAACAGGATCAAATTCGGGGCGGGCTCCCTCTTCCATATGCGCAAGCTAACCGTGAGTGCAAGAATAACAATAGACTAACGCCGGAGGTTTCTATCACTTCTGATTCTGGCGGTCGCGGCTTCCTTTTTTTTTTTTTTTTTTTTTTTTTTCCCTTCATCTATCTCACTAATCATTCCTCACAATGCAAAAGCAGGCTTTCTAGAAGCGCAAGCACTTCATCCAAATCTCTTACCTCCTCCTCCACTTCAAGTCTGTGCCCCGCAATACCGCGACATCAATGACCAGAACTTGCCAAGGGCCCAGGAGTATGATGCAGGTCAGATATGTTTTGGAATGGTGCGTGGTAGGAGACACTGTTATTCCTCCCTTTGCTTTTGCCTATCTACTTGTCGTAGCTGATTTGCTGTAGCTAAAAAACATCCAAATCCGTATTGACTGTGTTGAAGACCCGTCATCTCTATGTTTTGATGAAATTTCAGAGGAAAATGAAGATTTTGCCTTGTTACATCTCTTCATACAGGATGACCGTTGTGATCTTCTATCGAAACAAGGAAACTGCGTCGCTACACTGAATACCAAAACTCACCATGCGCTTAGCTCCATGAGGCTACCAGAGCCCCCAACCTGGCTAGGTGTAATACCAAAGTTCGAGCTCCACCAGAGAATGAAAATTGTAGTAGAGTCTTCACCCTCCGCTCGGTGGTCGTCGAAGGCTACATGTACGATGTCCATTCTCGTAATCGGTTCGCCTTGGATCGCTCAAATCCTGGCAAGGGAGCTCGCTCGGTACCATTTATTCCTACAACACCCAAACCCAAAGCCTGAATATTTCGAGTACAACAATCCACAGTATTTGTCCGGTGTGGGAGCGCCGTGTCTTAACCGGCCGATACTACCGCCCATTTTGGGGATCGCTAAGCAAAACGACACAGGCGGCCTCGACACGATGGACAATGAGGCCCAAGGCTATGGCGATCGCGAATATGACGGCGATGGTTCTCGAGCGGTTCTCCATAAGCTTCCGCAGCAGGCTTTGAGAAAAGAGGTAGGTGCTGATAGTCGCATTCGAACAAAGCTTGAAAGGTGAGTTCGATTCACTTTTGGATTCTGATTCTCGAAAGGAGGTTGAGACTTGTTGCAGCCACCAGTGGGAAGCGGTCGATTTCATTCTATCTCGAGAATCAGCCTATCCCCGAACCAAGTACACACTGTGGCGTCCTGAGAGCCGAAATTGGAATGAGCATGTGTAAGTGTGAAATCTACGACTGTTGGCTGTAACGCACTTACTTACAAGGAGATAATATAGTTACAGACATAAGATAACTGGCACGATAAGCCCGGAGCCCGTGGACATTCGTGGCGGGATTCTTGCGGATGATATGGGCGTAGGAAAGACCCTCAGCATGATTGCCAGTATAGTAGCATCTTCACCCTATGATACAATAACCTTGGAGAAACAGGCGAACTTGAAGTTAGTTCCCTCGAGATCTACGCTTGTTGTCGTACCATCTGTTCGTAAGTACCTACAATTTATTCCAAGCTTCCGAGTCTATTCACCATGACTTATCGAGACCTAGTACTGCTCCACGGTTGGATTGACGAAGTTAAGAAGTAAAACACAACAATATGGTGACGGTCTTATTTACAAAAAACCCTTTTCTAACTCAGCAAGCAGGCATGTCATTCCCGGAGTTCTAAAGTATTACAAATATCATGGCCCAGGGCGTTGCATCTCATTGTCATCGCCCCCTTCAGAAGATGTCATTCTCACAACCTATGCCACTGTTGAAGCTGAATTCAGTAGCAGCGGCGGAAATGGTATTCTCAACAGAGTTTACTGGCATAGATTAATACTCGATGAAGGTCAAAAATCACCCCTTGCGTAAGCACTGCAAGACGCTGATTCATTTACATAGCTCACGTTATACGGAATTCATCCACGAAACAGTTCAAGGCTATCGAGAGCCTTTCGGCCTCGATTCGCTGGTGCATGACAGGGACACCGATACAGAATTCCCTTAAGGACCTCGCGTCGCTCGTTCGGTTTCTCCGCATCCCGTACTTAGACAGCATAGGGAGCTTCCTCAAATACATGACAAAAGCGGCGGCTGGATCTACCCGTAATGCCCGTAATCAACCAAATTACGCCAATCTCGATTGTCTTCTCATAGCGACCTGCCTAAGACGTACAATGTCCACGGTGTTTCCGGCTCTTGGGGGCACCTTCTTCACGTATCGTCCCTCGTTCTCGGAAGCCGAACGCAGAGTCTACGATGAGCTGGTCAGGGCTTACGAGAGACGGCTGATGGCCGCAACAAACATGTCATCTTCGAAAGGACGATCAGATAAGCTGATTATGACAGCTAAATTGCGGTTACGCATGTTTTGCAATACCGGTCTGAGAAGTGTGTTTCTCGGCGGAGGAAGGTCCGATAATGATACAGACGCACAGAAACTATCGTCGGACGAAATAGTCACGCTACTCCAACAGGATGGACAGAACACTTGCTCTATCTGTGGCATGGAGATACTGACCTTAGATCCCGAGGACGAAGACGAAGATAAGAGCAGAAGTTCCTCGTTGGATTCTTGGCTCTCATTGAGCCGCCACCGTAGGTTGAAATGCCAGATATGTGCCCGCCCAAATGCAGGTATTATGGAGGATATAGAGAGTCAATATGACCCTGAGGCTCCAATAACAGCAAACACAACGGCGACAACAACAACAACCCTAACATCCGATGATGATGATGATGATGATGATGATGATGATGAAATGACAGACAGTGGGCAAACTATCAGCGCCGAACAGGACTTTCTCGATACTGTTGGTTCTCAACGGGCCAGTGTTGCCTATCCTTCAAAATTGGCGACTCTACTTACCGATATACGAAACCATTATTCGGAAGATAAAAGGTAATTATACTCCGTATTTCCCGCAGCACACCTGGGTTTTTATCTTGTCTTATATGCCCCATTGCTTACCAAATATACAAAACAAATCAGCATAGTCTTTTCTTTCTGGAGACAAAGCCTTGATGTCTTGGGTGAGATTTTCGACCAAAATGATATCTCTCATTGCCGAGTCGATGGTATCATGAGCCCGATGAAACGGAAGACTATGCTGGAGGAGTTCCAGCACAACTCAGCTGTCCGGGTGCTCTTGATGACTATAGGGACGGGCGCTGTAGGGTAAGTTATGACACAAAGCCCGCATTTTCTGCCTCTGGCATCGCCTGCGAGATCTCGGCCCTGGAGGTAGTATTGATCAATGGGGAGCCCGCGAGTTGACGCAGTTCGAATACAGATTGAATAACTTGTCCGTCGCGAGTCGGGTCCACATACTGGAACCGCAGTGGAACCCGTCTGTGGAGAGTCAGGCCATCGGACGAGCACTACGTTGGGGTCAGGGTAAGAAGACTTTTGTCATTCGCTATGTGATGGAGGACACGGTTGAAAAGGTGAGTCTCCAGTAATCATCCTACTAGCAGGACGGCCAAGATTATGTCTTCTATCTGTCAACCACGGAAGTCGCTTACCCGAGAGATAGATCATTGAGAGTGGTCAGTTACGGAAGCTGCAGCTCTCATTGGATGAGCGTGAACTACGGTGAAAGGGACGCCATGCTGTGGGCTTAGAGTAGTGGGAACGAACAGCATCAATAGCAGAACCTAAATCAACTCCCAACACGTCAAAGACCGCATTTCTCCAAAAAGACCCGGAAAGGGGGTAAGGTTCGCCCGGCCGTGAGCAGGACCTCGGCATTGGCCCCCTTTTGATCGGCAAACACGTTGTCATCCAGATAATTTCCATAGACATCACCAGCTGCTTGTTTCTCCCGCAGCCAAGGCAAGATGCACTTGTTTTTCTTTTCTGGCCGGAAATGATTCCTGAAATGGTCTTTTCTGGCGAATGTCCTATTGCACCCCCACTTTGTCCCATCCTTGAGAGTTCCGGCACAGACGTACTTTTGCTTATCGCTATTATGTACACCCTGATGGCGCTCGCAGTCTTCTTTTCGTGTGAAGGGTTTGCCACAAGTGGTACAAAGAAAAGACTTCTCACTAGCATGACTTCTCTGATGTCGATTCAGACTCTTTTTTTGGGTAAAAGTCTTATCACAGTCGGCACATCTGAACTTTCCCTCAACTCCTCCGGACTTGGATATTTTCTCTCTTATAGGCTTAGGAAAGTCTGGCTCATCTCCATCACTGGCATCGTTGATGTGATGCACGTCAAACAGATGCTTTTGTAATTCTTTTTCCAGCGCGTAACCAAAGACCTCCATCGGACAGCCCGCGACAACGCAGAGGTACGGTCGGGTGTGCTTTTTCGTATGTCGGTTCCGCTGGTCAAGAAAGCGGAAGCCGTGATGATAGTAGTAACAGTTGACTCGAGGGCACTTGAACCGATTCACGCCGTAGAGACGTTTGATAGTCTTGAATTCGTCACCCTTAGTATCAATACCTTCCAACACGGATCTGATTTTGGCTGTAACCTTCCACAGAGCGAGCGCCTCCTCATCACAGGGGCCTATTCCAGACTGGCCAGCCTGCTTCCTGGCCCAAGCGACCGTTTGAACTAGTCGGTTGTGATCCTTCATTTTCGTAGTTTCAATCTCGTTGAAAGGTGATAAGAGTGTGCGCACTCTTTCGATATGTTGAATGGGCTTGTGTGACTCGGACCAGTGCATATCAACTACTCCTTTCAGTGCCTCGCATAGACGAGTGAGGTCGCCCACTTCAAGACCCAAAATCCCACCCTCCAGGTGCATAACCCAGCAAGCAGACGCATAGTCATACAGCTGATGAAACCCGTCAAGCATATCCGACTTGACATCATGTTCAGCTCGATTGAGATCGAACTGAGGGAACGAGAGGTACGTGAGACAGCGCACTGCTAGCGAATAATGGGCCTGGTGGACTCTTACCACCGGCTCTTTTCTGAGGCCTTTCTCCAACCCTCCTTTCGTCAAATACCTAGCGCAGTCAGTAAAATATGGTATGTGCTCCATGTGAGATACCTTACTTCCGTGCAGTACCATGAACAAGATCAACTGTGCCATCAAGATGGTACTCGATAAGAGAGGCGAATAGTTCGTTTGGCGAATCGACTAGTCGTCTGCGAACATCAAAATTCCCATGCGTAGGGCTGATACAGGCTGTGGTCTGTATCTCTTCCCATCGTAGTGGCCGACGAGCACAGACAATCCAACCTAGCATTTCCTTGATGCGCTTCATAGTTTCAACGTCTCTCACTTCTTGGATGCGACTAAGAATCCGCTCATAGCTTCGTGGCAAACAGTCAGCCCCAACGTTGGAAAGCCCGCGGAGCTAAAACCTACAGATCATCCAACTCCACCGGCAGATTGTCGGGACGAAGTTGTTCTTCGAGGTCTTCAAGACTCAGACGCTCCTCGAGATATTTCGCGAATAGTTCGGCGAAGATAAACATCCCTTAAGCTAGGGGTTAGACATCCGACATCCCAGTGAATTGATGGAATCCCTTGAGTATCTTACCCTTAGCCCGTTTCGTTATGATCTCTTGAATATGCAGGAGTCGATTGTTTCCCCCAAACTTGGTGACTATAGTCTGCTGCCATACGCGGGCAAAAGCCGAAATATCTTCAAAATTGCGCTGTCCGATCTTGATGCATTCGATGCTCTCAAAATCTTCCGCAGCCGCACCGTCTTCCTGGCTGACAAACAGACACCGGATGGAGCCCGCATCTATCACCGTTTGTTCAACCATTTGACGAAACAGATTGACGATATTCTTCCTGGCAGCGCGCCCGCATTCGTCTAAGCCATCAAGTACGATATAGACCCTCCTACAACTCCTGAGAGACGTGCATAACAGTTGCTCAGAGACTGTGAATGACGTCAATGAGGCATTCATGTGAGCTTTTTCGTAATAATATGGCAGTAGATCAGGGTTCTGGTCAAGGACCTGTGCCAAGATCGACCTCGTAACACTATCAACGGAGTTACGTCTCTCATCGCCATGCTTGCAATAGAAATACGCAACAGTTGCTCCCGGAAGTCTGGAAAGCTCGTCAATCACGATAGAAGCGAGAACGGTCTTGCCTGGAGATGATTTTTAGCATCATATTCTCGTCCTATGGCTCCTTTCCCACTCTCAAGCGATTTTCCTGAGCCCGTAACATACCTGCTCCCGGGATCCCGCTGAGCCAAAGTAGTGGGTTTAAATGATCGTCACTGCTTGACCATGTCTTTAATTCGGGGCTATTCAGTAGCCATTTCCCGGGATTTTGACAAACTCGTCTCTTGGCTTGATGAACGCGGTGTTCTGCTTTGATGTCGATTGCGGAAAGCCAGTGCTCGACCGTATCTCTGTGAACCTTCGCCATAGCCTCCTTCTCACGTTCAAAGGCACGTGCAGATATCAAATCATCTTTTCTGATTGCCTCAAACTCCATAAGAGAGACTCTATTCTCAATAAGCCGTTTGTTTCGCGCAACCCTCTCCGCAATATCGTCGATATTGATAGTAAAGACTCTCATCCAGGCATGGAACAGCTGATCCCATTCTATTTTAGATCAGCCTCTGTTATAAGCCAGTGTCAATGGCAATGATACCCACGCCGATGTTTTAAGTGCCGGATTGCTTCAGAGTGGAACAGAAGAACATCCTTGTAGATCATTACTAGAGCATCTCTCAAGTGAGGAGACTCAATAAAAAGAGCCTGGTACGGGCGAAGTCGAGGCATCTGATCTCCAATTGACTGGTATGCATTCAAGATGGAATCGAATGCTTTTGAATGCTCGCATGTTGTCTAGACATAACAGAGCATCTGTCAGAAGATTTTAATGAGCCCGAACGCGTTTCCTCACGTACCTCAAGGATATACTTCATTGAACCCTACGTTAGGGTCAGCCCAGTTCATAGCACGATACATATTGTAAACATTCTAATCCACCTTACCCATACGTACGCAATGCTATCAGAGTTATTGGAGAATAGTCTGATATCTTCCGCCAGCTGGCCAAACTGTTCCATCGATACCAAAAACGGTTCTAGTCGTCCCATGTACTTCATGTCTCTGGAGAGTTCCTGTTGCATTTGTATTCCACCGATTGTATGCTGAAGGACATCCAAGGTTGTACCAACCAAAGTCTTTACTTCGCTTTCGGTGAGTTTTGATGCGTTCTTGAACTTGTCTAGCTCCGCTATCATGAGACGTGAGTGGGTGATCGAACTAGAGGAGGCTCATGGCATTTCGCTTACCAAGTATGCTGCGTGGTGGCGGCTGCAGCAGAAGGCTCTCAGCTGCTGATTTCGCACTATCTTCTGGATAAATCTGGTAGAAAGGCTGCATCACATCATCAGGGACAGTGTGTGGCACGCTGCTACTCTGTGCATCACAGTCAATGCCATCTTGTGGCTGAGGATCGGGGTTTAGAATTTGCAATAACTTTGAGCGCACAGTTGAGTAATATTGAGAACCTTGATCAAACTTCACCATATCGGAATGTGACTCATTGATTGCAAACGTTATTGCAGATCTAGTGTTAATGAATCCGCATGTTGCTGAATCTTTGTTCACCAGAATGGCCGTAGGCCCATCTCTGGTTACTCGATTGTCTGCTTTCCTCTGCTGCTGGTCAGCAACTAGCTCACAGTTTGTGGTATAGCGATTTATTCTGATTACTGGTTACGATGGTTACATACAACAACTGTGGGCGACACACTTGTTTCATACGCCCAAAAAAACTTGAATCGTTCGTGAAAGTGATTGGTGGAGAACGCCTCTGTGAGTTGGTGGATGAAGTTGGATGTTGTAGATAAATCTCGAATAAGGACCCCATTAGGTTTGCCATGGACAATGGCTTCCAATTCCCTATGCTCCATGCCCAAATTTGGGACGCCGAAGAAGACTGCTCCGCGTACAGCACTCAAGAGGGCCTGATGTTCATTGCCCGGGTAATTTTCGGCCAGGTCTCGTAGAGCTTGCTTAACGACCAGTCCTCCCAGACTATGGGCGAGAAATACCAGCGGCGTTACCGACTCTGGGACCCGGTGGGCTTGGAGTTGATCGATGAGCTGCTTGGCGAGATCGTTGATGGTCTGGAATGAGCTGCTGCTGTCAAGCTCAGTGTCATACCCGTAAAGTATGGCTCGGATTCCTCGCACAGACTTGGGTAGATTATCACGAATCCACATGAAGCGTTTGTTACTTCCCTTGCGCTGCCAGGATCCGAAAGGGTGGCTTGCTAGACCTGAGATAGCGATGCAACTAACCAATGGTCAAACGCCGATCATGTTGAAAAGACATGGCAGACCTTACTCGTACGAGTTTTGCAAGTGGTTTGTATCATTCAAGGGTGTCAGACCTATAAAGTGGGTATCTAATATGAGATCTGGGCTATTACGATCATGGCCCCTGGCGGAAATATGCCACTCCCGGCTTTCTGGATTGCGTTGAACAAGCGAAGGGGGAACATCGAACATAACAGTTGCCACTTTAGTGGGAGGATCCTCCCAATAATTCAGAGTCAGCGCGAGGGAATACACCCAGATTTGATGCGTAGAGATATCGCTGAGCCGTTTACTAAGCAGACGAGCGGCATCTTCTTTGGTTTCCACGGTGTCTGGCAATGCGCGCAAACGAAAGACAGTCTTGGACCAGTCCATTGCTGCCGAATAGAGTAATCACAGCCTGATTAGCCTTGCAAAGGGTATGTAAACCCAATGTTCGAAGAACACAGAGTCTACATAGAAATGGGTCAGAGATTAGCTTGTAAGAGTATCCCGTAGAGGGACTGTTTGTCTGTATAGAAGATAAGTTTGTAGAACGTGAGCAAGAAAAACCAAATAACTGAGATTACGATGGATTGATACAAGAGCAACTGAACGGCATGGCCTCAATGAGAGCGCAGTGATTGAAATGTGGAATAAGTGGATGGAGGAGGAAAAAATCATGACGTTGGCAACTAAGCATCGGGCACTGGCGCCTGCCTCATCGGGTATCCAGGTACATCTTCCCAAAAAGGCATTGACTGTTATGGAGTCATATGATAGATCACGTGTAAAGGTCCCCTGCTGCTTGAAGGAATTCATTTCAAGGGCGGTGCCATGAACTAGTCCACTTATGGAATACATGCACTCGTAGTTCAACACTGCTTATCGCAGGCCAATCATGACCTAACAAAACCTACGCCTTGTGGCTGGCTGAACTATGCCTGAGGCATGTAATATATGCCTCAGGCCATAGACAACCCAAATAGTGACCGAACCTCGGCACATTGACTCCCCGCAGTCAGTCCATCTCCATCTTCATCTGCAATTGCATCCGCATCTCCATGATCTATTAATCTCTCCATTTTAACACCAACACCAACATCAACAATTCACCCACCACCTCCCCCTCACTTGCACAACGCCATGATCCCTTACCCCAATTAATCCCCCCTCCCTTATCAACAACCATCTCCACTCCATTTCACCAAACCCTTCCAAAATGCTCCACTTCCGCACAGAAGGCTTCAACGGCTGCGCAGTCAAGTACTCACCCTTCTTCGACAACCGCCTCGCCGTCGCCTCATCCGCCAATTTTGGCCTCGTCGGCAATGGCCGACTCTACATTCTCGAGCTGACTCCGAACGGAATCGTTCCCTACAAATGGTATCCCCATCCCCCGAAACCCATCCCACTTCCAAACCCACCCAAGATCTAACCAACTCCCGCCTCAAAAAAACCAGGTTCACAACCCAAGACTCCCTCTACGACCTAGCATGGTCCGAAATCCACGAAAACCAAGTCCTCACAGCCTCGGGCGACGGAAGCATCAAGCTCTTCGACACCGGAGTCGCCGACTTCCCAATCCAAAACTGGAAAGAGCACAACCGCGAAGTCTTCAGCGTGCACTGGAACCTCGTCGCAAAGGACCGTTTCTGCAGTAGTAGTTGGGACGGGACAGTGCGCGTGTGGACACCAAGCCGCCCGCATTCCCTCCTTACTTTGCCGACGCATAGCTGCACGTACAGCGCGGCGTTTTCTCCGCATTCGCCTGATGTATTGTCGTGTGTGTCGTCTGATTCGTATCTACGGGTGTTTGATCTACGGACGCCGGCGTCGGCGTCGAACCATTTGACTTTGCAGGTGCCGATTCATGGTGGTGGTGGTGGTGCCGCTGGGGGAGGAATAGTGCCGGGTGGGGGTCCGATGGCGGCGACGGCGCCGGCGGAGGCGTTGACCATGGATTGGAATAAGTATCGCCCGTCGACGATAGCTACGGCGGGGGTGGATCGGACGATTCGTACGTTTGATATTCGGGCGCCTGGGCAGGGCCCGCAGACGGTGATGCTGGGACATGAGTATGCGGTGCGGAAGGTGGCCTGGTCGCCGCATTTGTCGGATGTGTTGCTGAGTGCCAGTTATGATATGACTTGTCGGGCTTGGAGTGATCAGACGCCGCCGGGGGCGGTGGGCGATGTCGATGTGATGCGGGCTGGACCGGGGCCGAATATGGGCGTTGAGTTGGGGAGGATGGGTCGGCATACGGAGTTTGTGACGGGGGTGGATTGGTGTATGTTTGGGAGTGAGGGATGGTGTGCGAGTGTGGGATGGGATGAGAGTTTGTATGTGTGGGATGTGAGAGCAGTGATGGGTTAACCCGATTCCTCCCACCATCCATCCATTGATTCTGCGTGTCGTGTGTTCTGTGTATTGGATATGGATATAGATTGCATGATACCATTGCATCGTTAATCATCTCATCTGCTATCAGCTATATGCTCTATGCTTTTTAGAAATATCCATCCCTCCACAAGCAAACCGGGTATATCATCCAAACCCAACTATATCAAACCCTTCCTCCCCCATACAACAAAATATAAACCGAAATAGAAGAAAAAAATAAAAATGAAACAGATCATTTCGCCAACCTAGCCTCAACCTTCTTCCTCTCCGCCTCCTTCACAGCCGCAATCTCCTCCCGACTCGCATCAAACGCCACATGCACCTGGTTGAACGGATTCTCCTCACTCTTCTCAAACTCCTTCTTACAGATCTCAATGCGCTGGTTACGTCTCAAACCCGGATTCTCAGCCTCAATCTCAGGCAACCGTCTCTCCTCGTACGCCGCATACGCAGCCTTGAACCGTCTCTCCGGATGCCGATCCACCTTGCCGCTATCCTTGCCCGTAAGCGACAAAGCGTCGAGCGCATTATCGATACCAGACGCATTGAGCGCAGAAGCCTTCTTGCTCGCGGGGGAATCGTCGAGCTGCGACAGATCCAATGTGCCCCGGCTGGGTCCGGCGTTCTTCTTCGCGGCGGCTTTCGTGTTCTTGGGTTTGCTGGGCTGGGAGGCTTCTTCGGCGGCGAGGAGGGCGTCCCGTTCGGCCTTCTTGCGCGCGGCTTCGGCTTTCTTGGCTTCGGCGTCTTCGCTGGATTTCCAAAGAGATTGCGTTAGCATCCTTTTTTTTTTTAACCGTTGGTCCTAGGAAAGGAATGGCGTACCGCTTGTTGTTACCCTTCGCGCCCTTGGACCACTTGGCGTCTTCTTCGGCGGCGCGCTTGGCGTCCTCGGCGGCCTTTTTGCTGGCGGCGGCTTCGGCTTTCTATATCCATATTAATCAGGATTTGTTAGCATTGCTTTTTTAACGTTGGCGTAGTGGTTGTGGTTGAGAAGATGGTAAAAAGGTGGTGATGGAGCGGGGGCGGGGTAATATTTTGCAGAGAGCTGAGGTAGGTGAACGTACACGGGCATTGCCCGCAGCCTTCTTGGAGTTCTCGCCGGCGGCCTTCTTGCCTCCCATTTTTGCGAATAGTATATACAGTAGTTATTGAAGTGGGGGAGGGGAAAGAGAGAAAAAGTGAGGGTTGCAGGTAAGTAGGTAGGAAAAGTAGCTAGGAAGCAAGAAGAAAGAGGAAGAAAAAGAAAAGCAACGATGTCATCCTATGGCGGGAGTTGATGGGCCGGGACGGAAGGAAATTGGAGGGAAGTGGAGCTGAGATGACTAAGAGGGGGTGGAAATGGGCATGTGATGGGGGAAGCCCTCATATTCCTATCTATCTAGGAGTATTTGTTGTATCGTGATGTTTTTATGCGGTGGATGAGGTAGGTAAGGATGAATATGTTAGAAGATGATAATGCGATGTGAGATTTGTAGTTAGAAGGTGAGAATGGAAGGTGAGAATGCGATGTGAGATTTGTCACTTCAACTGTGAATATCTTCTTGATTACATCGTCGAGGCGACTAAGCGTGTTAAGACTATTTAATCTGCTCGCTGTCCCTCCCTCTTCTCTTCCTTTCTCATTCTCCTCCTCACACACATCCATGTTTCCATCACATCTTCATCCACTTTCATCAACTTTCATCTGAAAACTTCTCATACTCATACACACGAGCCGATCCCAGGCTGCTACCGCAGCGGCAGTCTGGGATCGGCTACAACTTCATCTCCCATGCTCCTTTCTCCCACATCTTCACCCCGCTGATGTCCTCGATGCTCAGCAACGCCCGCGTGCTCAGTTCTACCCCAAAAAGGGGCATTGGGTCGCCTTCACTGTTCTCCATCGGAAACATAGTGCCGTGTGGAGCGTTATTAGTTGAAGCTGGCTGCGAAGAAGAGGACGAAGAAGCAGCCTCTTCAGCAGCTGCTTCCTTTTTGAGAATCGCGCACGCTTTGTTCAGGTGTCTGACGCGACCGCGAACCTGAATCGCGCCGTTTGCGATCGGTCCATGCATGCAATAGCACATGGCCACGTATTCGATGCGAAGGTGCCAATAGTGATAGATGCCGTCGATAAGGCTGTGATGGACTTCGCGTAGCGTGGTCGTGCACATGTCCTGGCGGTACCAGAAGACTTGCAGCGCCTTGAGAGAGCGGAAGCTGCCGATTTGTTGCATGAGAGAGTGCTATTGAGGTTAGTATTATACCAGATTGGTTTGGAAAAGAAGATGACAGCTGACTTACCAGGCCGCAGTTGTTCACCGAAACGCCGAGCTCGATCAGCTTGCCTCCCCGCTGGCTGATCTGTAGTATGGTCGCTGGGTCGGCAGCCCAGCTGTCACTCTCGTCGTTGCGGATTACCAATCGCTGGAGGTTGCGCATGTGCTTGTGTAGGATCTCTCTGCGAATGGTGAATGCGCTTATGGTGGTCTTGGCGGCCAGCGACTCTACCTTGGCTTTGCTGTAGCGCTCGAACAGGAACAGCTCGGTGATCTTGTCCATGCTATTGACGAAACTGCAGAACGCGGGCGTGACATTGTCCGTATGGATGGATGTCAGTGGCAGGGGGTAGATCTGGTTGAGTCGCTTGAGGAAAGCCCAGAGTGTGCTTTGAGGTCCAACGTTGAGTAGCGACAGGTGGTGGAGAGAGGTCAGGTCAACGGCCTTGCTAAGCACCCCGGCGGTCACTGGAATGAGATGGATTGAAAGGCTTTCCAGTGGGATGCCATGTGTGTTGCGAACATAGCACTCTCGCGCCTCTTCTGCTGTGCGCTTCTCGACCGGAGGATTTCTGACCGGCTGCTTCCCTTTTCCTTTATCGGCAGATGAACTGGGTCTTGCTGCTTGCACTGGCTGACGCGCAAAAGCCCGAACACTAGCCTCTGTGACTGACCGCTGTCTCTCATCGACGAACACCTGATCTTCTCCCTCCTCTTCAACAACGTCAGGATGCTCCATATCGATCACGTCGGTCGGACATTTCTCCTTCTTCTTGCTCACAGAGAATTCGGTCTTGCCGCTGATCGACGGAGTAGGCTTGAGAGCACTGGCTGGGGCAGAATTGCTGGCGCTCGCTTTAACAACGTTCTCGCTCGGCTGCTTGGCATTGCGGACCAGATACTGAGTTGCAGCTTGGTCGAGTTTGTGCAGTACGTTGATGATGGCTGGATTTTCCGAGTTGAGCACCATCATCTTTGGCAGCACACGGACCATTGAGCGCACACACTTCAGAAACTTTTGGTCCCTTGCCTCTTCCGAAGCGCTACTATCCTCCGCCTGCGATTTGCGGGCATTTCCTTCCAGCAGGGCTTCCTGCAGATACTTGTTGCGACGGTCGCCATCTCCCACTTTGAAGATGTACGCCAGAATTGACTCCTGAATGGAGCGCTCCCTTCGGACCACGGGATCTGGGGGTAGAGCAGGATCGGCTGGAGTGGCCTGCTGATCCAAGAGAAGGTCTTCTTCGAACTGGGGTGCAGCGAAATTGAGCATATCCCCGAATGCCGTCGTCGCGTCTGGCGCCGAATTGGAAGCTGTTTTCTTCCGCGCCGACTTTGCAAGCTCGTCAGAAAACGACAACTTGAGAGACTTCAACGTTGACGAGCACTGCGAGATACACTGTGGGAGCTGCAACACCAGTTTCAGGTCCTCAATATCCAACACCGAGAGATTCTTTAGTCCCGAAAGAAGGGAGAGAGTTGGTTCATGCTGAAGTTTGTCGAGATCCTTCAGCAACTGAGCTTCGGCCCCGGTGCAACTGGGTCGAATTTCCCTGGGAGGCGGATTATTTTGGTGGAAGTGGTAATGGGGAGTCTGAAGCATTTGTCCAAGCGTAGAATCAGTGGCTCCTGGCGTTGTGCATGCTGGCAGGCGAATATGCACGTCCCGAATGTCAGGAATTTGGCTGATCGCTTGGTACACTGAGGGTGTGAGTTCCAAACGAATATCCCAACTAAAGAAATTAGCACACGAATACTTTATCATGTATTCAAGACTGTCTTGTACTTACCTGAAGCTAGTTAACCCGGTCGTCTTCCGCAGAGTAATGGCAATAAGACTACACAGATACCGGCCTGTGTAGTAACTTTGACTAGGCCTTTTGACCACACCTCCCTGTCTATTATCTGATTCGTAGGGCGCGATATGCCTCACTGCAATGTTCTTGACAGAAGACGCGTACTGAGGGCTGCTAGTACTCACTACCTCCACCATAGCCGTGAACCGATCCAGGGATTTCTCAGTGTAAACAGGATCATCTGTATGAATGCCATGGTGGATGTTGCGGTACAGCAGCGCCACGGCCATGCCGTGGAACTGCTGGCACACCCCAGCCAGGCTACAGAGGCTCTTTTCACCAGACTGAGAGAGAAAGAAGGAAAAAAAAGTCAACAACGCGTCTTGGACCTCGGGGGGGGGATGTACTCACATATTCAAAGATGGTAGTGAGAATTTCACTGGGGAGACCGAGCAAGCAAGGCACTACTACTGCTCCCTTTTTAGATTTGCAGGCACTGGGCCCGCCGGACTGGATGCCAAAGTGCATCTTCTCATTTCTCGGCGCGTAGCCCCGCTTCATAGTGATTGTTGTGGAAGTTAATGTTTTTCTGAATGACGAGTGGACGAGAAGGAGGAAATGTGTGTGCAGGTGATAATGGTAAACGCTTAGATGAACCGTTGGATTACCGACAGATCGATCACACGAAGTGGGAAAAGAGTATCGGTGGTATCGACGAGGCGGGAAGGATAGAAGAGAAGTCGATTCAACAAAGTGAGAAAGAAACAGTCGATTCGAAGAAGAGAACAGCAGCAGTGAATGGGCTTCGGTAACACACCGCCGCCACCAATTCACGCCAGGCGACTGACTGCTGTGCCTGATTTGGTGTGATTGCTCTCACTTTTACTTTGGAACCATAATTGGGAAATTGGTAAGTCACCAAGCTTGTTCATTATGTAGTAAATAAATAATATTACATCTGGTCTATATGAGAGGCGCTATATGGCCATATTACAAGTAGATACTTTCGTCCACCTCTGTACAATTGAGTCAAAGTCCCTAGATTGGCATCACTGGCAACCGATATCCCTCTGGAATGTCGGTTGGCCAGGCGTCCACCCCGTCCAGCAAGGCCAGTGCCAATCCACCGACATGGTGCATCTGAAGATGGCAATGGAGCAGGAATGGCCCCGGGTTCACGATATGGTAGCGCATCGCCAGCCAGCTCGGCCCTGTGCCTGAGCTTGGCGAGTAGAAAGTGTCCCGCATCTGGGGATTTTCGAAGTTGAAGTTCTCCGGGATGTCTTTCATTGCCTCTTCCACGGAGGACCAGATGAAGGGCTGGTTACCCGTTCCGATCACAAAGTACTTGTTGGAGTGCTTGTGGATGGGGTGTTGAGGCTGGCCAGAAGTGGTGATGTTGATGATGAGATCAACCCAGGTACCGTTCTCCGTCATGGCCGAGTACGCCTGCGAGATTGAGCTGAGGTTGAACAAGACAGGAGGGCGAAGCTCTTCATTCGACACGGGGTACTGGTTGCCCAGGGTCCAGGTGTAAGATGAATTGGCATTTTCGACATTCAGGATGTAAGTCCGGTCCGCCTTCGTAGCAGGTGCTACCACGGGGAAGGGTATCACGTCGGTTTCGTTCAAAATGACCGTGGAGGCAGTGGCATTAGCACCGGCCTCGTTGATATAAGGCTGCGAGGTACCGATCTGCTTCGGTGTAGCGGTGTTGTACGACAGGACGGCGGTCCCATTGATGAGCTGGTTCGCATAGTTGTTGGCAACGCGGATAGTATAGTCTCCCGCCTGGTCTTCCGACTTGAGTGGCACCATAACCGAGTATCTTGAAGCGACGGGCACAGTAACAGCTTCGACAAGCAAAGGTTCAACATAACGGCCATCGACCGCGTACACATACATCGGATGCTCATCGATGGAGAACACAAGCGAAGTCGAGCCAGCCATACTAATAAAGTCAAAGCTGGCATAACCGGATGAGGCATTGACTTTGAAAACCTCCGTGGGCCCTTCACTAGGTGTGCATCCTTCGTAGAAACCTTTGGGACTCTTGCTGAGATCGTACGGATACGGACCCACAACACCCGGCGTGGGAGGCAGGCATCTAGTCAGGATCAGCATTGTAACCATCATCAGGGTTTGG